TCTTTCTTGGTATGAAACCATACTGCTGCTCACAAATAGTCACCTCTCATCTAAGTCTTGCTTCCACAACTCTCTCCCAGGTCAGCATTGTGTGACTCCAACTTAATTCCCCTGTACAGTAGTTGCTACAGCTTTATACATCGCCCTTGTTCTTAAAAATGGACACCAGCACACTTCTTTTCCATTCCTCAGGCATTTTCTCACTCTCAAATATGTCATTAAATATTTGAATGAAAAACCTCACTGCCATCTCTCCAGAACATTTCCAAACCTCCACTGGTATGTCATCAGGTCTTACTGCCTTCCCCTTCTTCATTCTTTTCAGAGCTTTTTGAACTTCTCCCACATTAATCTTTCCCACTTCCTGGTCCACAGTTTCTATGACCTTTACTTTTCTTTCCCTTTCATTATCTTCATTCATTAGCTCCTCAAAATACTACTCCCATTTTCACGTCACAGTCTCCTCACATGTTAGAACATTACCGTCCCTATCTTTAACAAGCTTTACCTGCTGCACATCCTTTCCAGCCTGATCCCTCTCTCTTGCCAATTGGTATAACCTTCTCACCCTTTTTAGTGTCCAGCCTTCCATACAACTCATCATACGCCTTCTGCTTTCCCTTTACCACCCCCTCTTTGCTCTACATTGCATCTCGTTATACTCCTGTCTCCTCTCCTCTGTCCTTTCACTCTCATATTTCTTCTTGGCTAACTTTACCTTTTTCTTTGAATAGCTTCCTGCACTTCACTATTCCACCACAGGGTTTCCTTATTATATTTTCTCTGTCCAGATGACACATCAAGAACCTTCATACCTGTCTCTCTAATTACTGTTGCTGTAGTAGCCCAGTCATCTGGAAGCTCTTTCTTACCACCCAGAACCTTTAACAGCTCTTTTATGAACTCCTCACAACATTCTTCCTTCCTCAGCTTTCACCATTTGGTCTTCTTCTCTGATTTTACTCTTTTTCTCTTCTTCACAGCAACATCATCATTGTCATTCTACACACAACCATCCGATTGACAAGTTTAATGTAATATATAATTGTTGTTCTTGCTTGAAGATAAAACTATGCAGGAGGTTTAAGTTGATGAAACTTGTCTTGTTGGTTGCTCCAGGCTTTTATTTTACACATGAATGAAGATGTTGTAGTGAGCATGTCATCACAAGGTCATTACTCACTTTTCACTGATGACCCACTGTTTAAATGCATCACAGGGAAAGTGTTCAAGGCTCAAATACTTGAATTACATGATTATTTTTCGCAAATGTATTCAAACTGCCCAGATGGCATCACAGTCTTCCCTCTGACTGTTAAAGATCCAGGCTTTGGTTGTCGAATGCTTTGACGCCATATGATGCCATCTGACTCACTCCATTGCTTTCCTTCCACAATTCTGTCCGCCCATCACTGTCTCTGTGTTTCTGCGAAACATTAATTTTTTTTTAATTGCTCAACATCCTCTGCTTTGCATGCACACCTCTGCCAAGCCACCAGACAACCCGGCTGCAACCACAGATGGGGGAGACGGGGCCTTAGACTGCGAGAGCGTCACATAACTTCGCCTCCACACTTAACTCATTCTGTGCTCATGTAACGCTAGCGTGGCCAGGCCCCCAGCCAGATCCACCCTCATATCTGTGATTGTCACACCACAACACCAGCAGCACAACGACACATTTCTTTCATTGTGACAGATTTAGACGGCACTCAGCGTTCTCACCACCTGTCGGTTGAACATGTTCCACCATGTCGCAGTGGCAGTAAGGGCTTTTAAACTAATATTGTTATGTGTCCTGTAACTGCCTTAGCCTTCAGGGTGAAATACATACATCTGTATAAACCACCTGCTGTTGTTACCGAGGGGCAGACTTTGTAACCTTTCTCACAGCTGAGCTGACTTACCCAAAGGTCTGAAAGACTATAGATTATGCACAGACCAGGCAGCTACAATGAACAGAAAGATTATGTGGAGAATGGTATCCGGCAGCAGCCCAGAAATGTCACATATTCCCCTGCCCTAAATGCATATCTTTAGGAACAAAATCAACAGGGCAATGACATGTCGAAATAGATACACCTCATCCTTTTTTTAAAGGGTACAACTTGCACAAAAATCTTTAAAATATTGAAAATATTTGGGAAAAAACATTATGTGCTCGTGCCTAAAGTTAAAACACTAGCAAGAGGATAAGAACTGACGGTGTGAACACATTTACTGCCATGATTAAATGCTCACCAACTGGCTAAAATAAAGAACAGCAACGAGCACACTCCACGACTGAACTTTATCGCAACACGGAGAGTTATTCATGGTGAGAAAATGGACCGTATCCTGTGGTTTACTACTGACGAAGGCGATTCTGTGAAAAGCTAGGGCAGACCTCAGGCGCCATAAATTACTACAAGACAAGGGCACTCTCTAAGGAGCCCCAGATGCAGGGTTTTGCTAAAATTACACCTCGTTTATCAAACCCTTTATTTCCAAACTGTCCTTTTCTGCAGGAATCCATTCACTGGTGCTCTAAATCCTCCTCTTACATCATGTTCCTTGGAGCTCTCTATCTGAACAACTCATGACTGTACTGTAGTTTTGGCATTATGTTTAGTCACAGTTACAGTAAACTGTGGTGTTTGCAAAGGTTGTGGAGCATTCAGGATTACTTAATGGTTTCTTTTCATTGGCATCATTTTCAAACAAATCAAATTAGGCTGGTTTTGTTCATTGAGCTGATTTAAATTGTAATTGTTTTCATGTTGGCTGGTTGTTGCAGAAGTCCTCAGGGCCTTTAAACTACAAAAGGAAGTAAAAAGAACAACAAACAATATGACTGCTTTTGAAAACAATTTAAAATCCAGTATAGTTGCTGGTTATGGATGGACCCAAATTCATGCAAATAGTAGGCAGGTGATGCACATGGAAACAAGAATTTTGCAAGCAGGAACCTAATGTTGGGTGACAAGACCAGACTGAATAAACAGGAACAAACTTTGACAAAGATGGACCACAACCAAAGCACACATACACATGCACTGTAATCGAAGACGAATGAGCATAAACAGGTGTGCTAATTACTAATATATATTTTTTTTTTTTTTCATTTAGCCTTTATTTATCCAGGTAGTCACACAGGTGACTACCTGGATAATACCTAATGCAGGTGAGTAAAGAGCTGGAAGCAGGAACAGCTGAGGTGGCTCTGACAAAACAAGAATAACCAGAACCACTCTAATACATAATAAAAATGTAAAAACATCAACACAAATCAAATCAATACACACACACACAAACAAACAAAATAAATAAATAAAACCACTCTAAACCCATGACACAACATGGATCTGATCTTTTATAAGTTTTGAAATAAGTGGTATGAGAGAATACTTTATACATATATCCAAACATTTTCAGTCAGGTCACCTGGACTTTCCAGATGACCTGACTGAAAATTGTTGGATTGTACACCTGGATTATTGAGCATGGACTTTTTTGGTTTTGAACCGGTTTGACATGACTGTCGACAAGGAAGAGGGCCGGCAACAGAGGAGGGGGTGTGCCAAAGACACCATCTGAGCACCAACATAACTGGTTTGTTCCACTTTGGAGTAAGTTGTTTGGGGGAAGAATCAGTTTTGTGTTGTGTGTTTTCTTGACTGATGAAGCCTTCTGGATGGAAGGTGAAACGTTTCAGAAAAAAAAAAAAGAAACTGTCCAGAAGAACTGATTGAAAATTGTTGGATTGTATACCTGGATTATTGAGCGTGGACATTTTTGTTTTTTTGTAGACATATAGTATGTATAAAGTATTTTTTATTCCAGCACATAAGTTTTCTTCTGTTCAGTTTAGACTTTGAGCTTAAGCTTTTAAATTGTGACAAAACCTTTATGGAAACTTTCACATGAAAAAAGACAAACAAACAAAACATGAACAAAATACATGGACAGTACTGAGGTGCATGAAATGAAAATCCAATTTATGGACATTTCTGTAACATTATCATATACAACACTATCATTTAACATGTTGACGGTGTAATTAGAACAACAGTTCTCCGCTTTATAGCTGTTTACTGCTGTCTGATTATTATGACTAAAGTGTAAATAAGGATGTCACTGCCAGCATTCAAATCTGAAGTACTCACTCGGAACAAAGACCTCTACAGGCAGAGTTGTTGCAGAGTCTATGGCTCACACGTGATCGGAATCCAATTATTTTTCTAGAAAACCAGAAATATACTTCTTTTTTTAAATGCATGCATCTGCAACATGAGCCTGCATGTCTGAACTAAACTCTACTGTTGAACTGAGTGAGAACAAGCTTTGTCCTCTGGCTGGCTGAGTCAGGATGACGACTTTGCCTTAATGATTTAGAGCGTGTGTATTTGTGCATATTTGCAAATCTCATTTCCAAGGGACACAGTGTGTCTTCCTCACAATGGCTTGGAAAGGCATGGATGTGGCAGTTATATTACAGCCGAAGATGTGGAGCCCCAATTAGCAGAGACTTCCTTGTATCAGCTCGAGTGAGCCGAAAGGAGCTCTGCTGCTGAGAGTAATCATGCTGTCGCTAGACATCCTGTCAGCCTGTCCTAAGCGCAACATCTGTAGCTTGTCTGCATCTGACAGGACCACTGCTAAAGTGTGAATTGTAGGAAAGGGGAAAAAGATCCTCCAAATTAGATCATCCAAGCATTTGTGCCTTCAGGTAAACAGCTTCACTTGTGGAACTGATACTCATCAAGTCCAATTGTTCACATCTCACAAGGGGTAATTTCACATGGTATTTAAGACTAAGTGAACAGTTAAATGAGTCTTCATCACACTCACTCTTCAGCCTGGATGGCTTTCCCCCCTCCATTTGGTTCTCACTGGTAGTAACATGCAAGATTTTGCTTGACACTATGAATATATGAATATAGCATCTGCTGTTTGTTTCCAACACAATAAAATAAAATTGAGTATTATGCATGAGGTAAAGACTGTAAATGCGTTCCTACCTGAATGGAGACATCACTATAAGAGCCTCCTATGACCCCAGAGATAGCCAGTGGGACGTCGTCGTGAATGGCGTAGGAACCATCGGGGCATGTGTACTCACTGTCATCCACTTTAGTGAGGGAGGCCCTGACAAACTCTAGAGACTGCTCCAAAGCGTATGTGTCTTTAGAGCAAGTGTCTAGAATGTGGGCTCCCAGTCTGATCCCAGGAAGGATTCGCTCATCCTTGTTGATTTCATCTAATGCCAGCAGCATGGCCTCCAGTCTCTGGATCCCTCTCTGTGAATTGATCTTCCCACAGTCTTCTACCCCCTCGCCCTTTTGGTGCACAGGGAACAGGCCGCCAATCATCAGATCTCCTTCCAGGGTGATCTCTCTCTTGGAGTCGGTGTTGTAGGGCACCGCAGGCAAACCCTGGGGAGCCTGGGCAAACAATGACACGCTGAAGCACAGCAGGCCGAGGTGGGACAACCAGAGGGGCCGGGGCACAGGGCGTACCCCCAACATGGGGGAACTCCCCAGTGACATGTCCCTGGGCAAAAACAAAGACACCGTCCTGTCTGGGGATTCTGCTCGGTTCTGATGATGGCAGCAGAGAAACAAAGAAGCAGCGCCAGCGACTCTCAAAGCGCCAGTGTTTTTATTCTGACCGAGGCCATATATAGCATTATCTCCATGCTCCTCATCCCTCTCTTCTTCTTCTTCTTCTTCTGAGAGATTGTAGATTACAGCCTGCAGATCAAACAGAGAGAAATTCTGTCACAGCTGTTGAATCGAAGCACAATGATCTATTGTCCCACAGACACTGTGTCTGCCAGAGACGGCTTCGTTCACTGGAAACATTTGACATCATCTGCACAAGTAAACAAATATTTGTGTATTTGTTTGCCTTTTGATGATGGTTATCAAAAGAAGAAAAAAAAAAGAAAAAGCAAAGACTTCACTTGGTAACCACCTCTTGATGTATCAGCACAGCTGGAGTGCGTGCGGCACCGCTGGATATGCAGTATGTGTGCGATGCAGATGGCATATTTGAGACAGTGAGTGATCTTGATTTAATCTGCTAATAAATGTTAGTGAAGCTTGAGAGCAGAGATCACTGTTGGTGCAGAGTTCACCGAAGAAAACAAACATCCTGCAAATGTTCGTCTTCAAGCGGAGCCGTGTCAATTGTGCGAGGACTCGTTTCAAACACGTGGGTTATATTTTCAGACTCTTTCTGTTTTACTGCCTGTGTGACCTCGTTTCCTTTTCTTCCAAGATAGATGACTGCACAACTCTGTTATAAGCACGTGAACATACTTCTGCACATCGAAACTCTGACAAGTTAACATCTCCCAGGGGTGCATTACGTCAAATCACTTTCCCACAAAAAAGGACTGTATGTTCAAAAAGAAGGAGCAATGTCTGTTCTGATTAAAGGAGTGACATAATACAAGACAGTTTCTTACAAAATGACTGAACTGGTGAGATTTTACATTACGTCAGTTCATTTGTTCAACAAGCTTTATTCGGGTACAATATCTTTAAAGCACTTCTTGGGTGAAACCATCATTATGTTTGCATGACAAGCACTGGCGTCCATTTTGGATTTACAGCTGATGCATTAATTTAAAGGAGCAACATCACACAGTTGATCTGTAAGGTCACCTCATCGATGGAAGACAGAAAAACAAGAGTAAATTACAGTAAAACTGTTCAGTATGTTCAACTTTAAGGGGCAGTGTCTTTTGATTTTGCACACAGACTGGAATATTATTTTAATTTGCAACTTTTTTAACCCATTCATCCGTCCATCCATTATCTTTACCCGCTTGTTCCATTTTGGGTCACGGGGGTCGCTGGTGCCCATGTCCAGCAGTCACTGTGCGAGGGGCGGGGTACACCCTAAACGGGTCGCAAGTCCATCACAGGGCCACATAGAGACAAACAACCATTCACTCTCTCACTCACAACTAGAGACAATTTAGAGTTACCAATCAGCCTAACATGCATGTTTTTGGTCTGTGGGAGGAAACCAGAGCACCCGGAGAAAACCCACGCATGCACGGAGAGAACATGCAAACTCCACCCAGAAAGGACCCCGGACCGGGGTTTGAACCAAGGACCTGCTCACTGAGAGGCAGCAGCTCTACCAGTTGTGCCACCGTGCTGCCCACATTTTTAACCCTTTAATTTATTTTTCCAAACATTTTCTTTTAAATGTCTTGGTCTGAAATGCACCAACTTTTTTTTTAATTCTTTTTTTTTATTATTTTACAAATTGGTATTTAATAAAGAAATGAATAAGCTAAAAACATTTAACTTTTACAGTTAATTTTTTTAATTAATATCATTAGTATTTTAAATTAATAACTGCATGGAGCCAGAATTGAATTCAAAATCCAACTTTTAACCTACAAAGCTCTCAACAACCTAGCTCCATGTTATATTACAGATCTTATTGTTCCATATTTTCCTAGCAGAGCACTTTGCTCTCAGACTGCAGGTTTACTCGAGGTTCTTAGAGTTTCCAAAACCAGAACGGGAGGAAGATCTTTCAGTCATCAGGCTCCTCTCTTGTGGAACCAACTTCCAGTTTCTGTCTGTGAGGCTGACACATTGTCCAGTTTTAAAACTGGAGCAGATGGCTACATGTCCTGAGTCTGGTTCTACTGGAGGTTTCTTCCTTTTAAAAGAGAGTTTTTCCTTTCCACTGTTGCCATTGTGCTTGCTCAGGATGGGAGACTGTGACAAAGTGAAGATTTGAGTCTGCTGGCTTCCTTAGACAGAAAACTTTACTCACTGGCTTTTCTATGTATGTGAATGCTCCTGTAAAGTGCCCTGAGACAACTTTGTTGTGATTTGGTTCTATAGGAATAAACTGAATTATTTAAATTGAACTTGTTTGAAATAAACTGTATTTGGATAGAATGAAAGTTGAGCTGTAATAAACTGGATGAAACCTGTTTACATCCAGCTAAATGAATGTGTTGAGTTAAAATGGACTTGAACTCAGACTGTATGTATTTTAAATGATTTGGAGCTTATTTCAGAGTTATGGTTGGGCATAAAATACCAAATTATCTCAGTAAAATATATTAAAATTACTTATTTTGTGTATTGGGGTTTTACAAATAAATTCAACTGTGATTTATTTTATTCTTTTTTTCTTATAGTGTCAATATACAAGACAAGCTACTGCACATGAGCAGGTTTTATAAGGTGATCCTCTGGATAAACATGTTGACAACCAAGTTTTAGTGTCAGTCCTGGAGGCATAATCAGCCCATTTACTACACTCAAAATGTTTAAACTTATAAATAATCCCATGTCACACTTATTTTGGACCAATTATCCAACCAGATTATAATTTCAGCTGTGGATCAGGTCTAGGTGGGGTTTGGCATAACACAGTTTCATTGTATTCACTTTTAATCCCAGTTTCTTTGGTTTTTCATCCACAAATTTTAAAATAATTACTCATTTATGAAGTAATTGTTAAATTTTAAAACTTTCCCCCTTCCTTTAGATCCACTTGTTGTTTCTTCACCTCTGACTTTGTTAAGTTTGTTTGAGTGAAAGCAAATAGAGATGTAAAATGTGATGCAAACTGCTGCAGCTGTGTTTTGCATAATGGCAGCTATGTAGGTGACAATAGAGAGAGCATCCAGTGGGCACAAGTACGTATGAATATGTAAGCGTATGCTTAAGAAGTTCTGTCTGTGGAGGTGGTAATAGGGTTTTTGCATGTGCCTGACTTCACATATTAAACCCCCAAAACAAACAACTAAAAATAATATAAAAAATACAATGCAGATTGTTTCAGCTGTTGATCTGCTCAGAGTTTTCTGCTTCCAGTCCCTGGTGTCAGTCCCCACAAATCCTGGAGGCCTAATTAAGCAGAGTTTTTGGTGTCTGCCAAGTTTATCCAAGTAAATTATTGAGCTGGAAGGACTGTGTCCCACATCCATTACCTCAACAAGTGAGGGAGGTTGACAAGCAGTAATTAACTGCACTGATGAGAGATTATGAAAACAGAGCAGGGAGATATTAACAGCCATGTTTCTTTAGCTCCATTAAAAAAAAAAAAAGCGACTCACCTATTAAAACAACACAAAGCTCTCAGCAGGAGTCAGACTGCAGAACACATTCTTTGGGATTTCTCTGTCTCTTTGTCTATATACACCCCCCAACACACACACAACACACACCATCTCTCTCTCTTCTACTGTTGTTTCCATGGAAACGTGCCAGGAGATGGAGAGGATGAAGAGAAAGTGGAAGACGGAGCAGGACAAGTGGGCCAGCCTGATCATGCATGGTGCACGGTCTTCTGGGAGAACTGACCACCTCCAACACACTCCAGACAAAGCTTCCCTTTCTTTCTTTTTTTTATTGGCCAACAGCAGGAAAAAAATAAACTACATTAAAGCAATCTATTTATTGCAATCTGGTTGTTCAGTTATTCTATAGAAAATACTGCAGAAGAGATCATTTATTTTTAATTAATAACTGCATGGAGCGTCAGTCAAACTAAAACGTGCTTTTTTTTTTTTCTACTGCACAAAATGTGAATTTTAGACTTTTTTTTTTTTTGGCTCTCTCAGCAGCTTGTCAACAAGTGAAACTCCTCTGCACATACGGAGCGAAATCACACCTCCTTCCTGCTAATACAAAATCAGCCACCCCATCAAAACCACAAAGGTTTTAATGTTGCAGCTGTGTGTTCCTGTCATAGTGCAGCTCCTAACACCAGACAAATCCCTCAATCCCAATATGTGAGCAGACTCAAACATTTTGAATAAAAAAAAATAAGAAAAAAGATGCACAACGGCAACAACACCGGTAAAGCACTTAAGCCCACGGTCTCCAGAGAGAATGGTGACAAAAGGATTTCTGGCTAACACATTGTCAGTCTCCTCCCTGGTCCTGTGCTCCCACGGGAGGCCTTCCAGTCACTTCAGTGGACTTCCATTTCTCTGTCCTCGTCCACCGCTCCTCTTTAATATGACAGCAGACAGACCTCTGCTGGGCAACACATCTGGATTTTCTGTCAGAGCAAGCGAAGGAGCACGGTGTGATGGCATTTTTGGAGAATAGCCTAAAACTTTTGATACGTGCACCTACACTTTTAAAAAAGGCTTCACACGAGTTTGGCATCTTTAGATGAGGAAAAAGATCTAAACCCTCTCTCGTGTGTTTAATGGCTTTTAGTTTTCTTGCAGTGGGATCCCCAAATTCTGTGTGCGTGCGCTTAAACGGCAGCCGCTAGGAGCAATATTTACACTTTAGATGCGATTTCCCACCCAGGACTGGGTCCGCACGGCGACTTCAAAGAAAAAAACAATGCTTCTCACTTTTTTCCCTCTCTCCTCCTATCCTCTCATCTCCATTTCCCTTTTCAGCAGATGGCCTTTTTAATTCAAGAGCGAGCAAAGCCTGCCAGCCTCTCTCACACACTTCAAACCAGACTGTGTGAGGGAATGGTGGTGGGGAGGCGGGAGGGACTGAGCTGCAGAATTACAAGAAAAGATAGCAGATGTGAGAGGGC